CTACACCCCAGGACCCCTGTGACCCCTCTGATTTGGTGTACCTCACGATGAGCAGGTGGGGGGGGGGGCAATGAGTTGGGTGACACATTGCAAGGAGCAGCAACGCTGCCAATCTAACACCCAACCTCATGACATGCCCCACGGTCCGCAGCCCCTAAGCCCCAACCCCACACGTTTCCCCTTCACCCACGCTTGGCGCGCGCTCGCTGGCGCCCTCCCACCTCTTGTCGGCTCTGCATGCCGCATTGGTGCAGCCCCCTGCCGGCCGGCCCACCCAACGACCCGGCCGCCCACCCCAACAACCGGCCCCCGCCACCTCAGCGTGCGCTACACCAACAGCTTCACCTACACCCGCTTCCAGCGCGTGGTGCAGTCCACCATCGGGCCGCGCGTCAAGGACTCGATGCGGCAATACATGACCAGGCGCGCGCGGCAGGGGCGGTGGTTTGAGTGCGCGCCCGGTCAGCGCTGCTTGACAACGTCTCGTTGGCACAGCATCGGAAGCGTCACTCTGTTTTTGCGCTTGTTTTTACCCCGCCATAAGCCAGTGGGAATCCCAAGGGTAGCAAGGGAACCGCCGCGGCCTCGCCCGCGAGGCAAGCGTTGCCCCGGCCAGTCGCAGCCCCATGGCTCGAGGCCCACTCCACCACCCTCCGACCCGCCTGGTCGCCCAGTGGGCACCGCCTGAGCTGCAATGCTGCCATCCTTCAACCTTCGTCGATCCCTCCAACCCAATGAACGCGTCACCGACAGCCTGGCTGTCGAGGCCTACGAGTTGCGCATGGTCAAGCCGCCGGACGAATGGGCCGCTGCGCTGGCCGGCGCCGGCGGCGGCGGTGGCGGCGGCGGCAAGAAGGTGAGCCTTGGCCGGCGGGCGCTCGTCGCTGCAGCGCCGCCCTGCGCGTTGCGAGGGCGCGCACGAGTACCTTGATCCGCGGCGGGCGGTTTCCGTGGGCGAGCCATAGGGGATTTCGTCTCAGCCACCGGATTCTCAATGGTATGGGCGGACTGCCTCGCTGACTTTCGCCCGACGGGCACATTGCATTGCTCTGTTCAACGT